ACGGACACTAACAGCACAACAACAACGCGACGGACGAATAACTAATCCGAGTGACGTGGACTTCACGTATCGTGAACCACGTACCCCCGAACTAATGAGAGCACCACATTCGACGTCGCAGACTCACTACCAGGAGCGGGCAACACCTCGAGAGGCATCACGGGCCGTTACAAGTAAGCGTCCTCGTTCTCATACCAAAGAGACACGACAGAGCCGAGGTAGAGTCGATGACACACCAGAGCAAATGACGAGCCTACTTTGGCAACAGCAATCGCTATTAGAGAAATATTAACGGCATTTGCATCGACTGCGACGAGAAAACCTTCATCACCAGATAACATCGAGTTCCGCATTAGAGGAGCCGACGATGCCAGTCATGGGTTAGGGTACACATCGTCGGATCAGGACGAAGGCGATACACAACAGGAAACGGTATCTCGTCAAAACTTTGCAAAGGAACAACGTAGAGCTATACAGAACCCTCACGGGAGGGAGGCACTGGATAATCGACGTGACAACATGGACACGTCCCAGTCTACCGTCACGCAGGCTACTTGAACGCACACCGTCGATTCAAGCCACGTCATCGGAGAAGCGTCGACACTTTGCTCAGCAGGTCACACCTCCTACACCAGACAGCATAGCGGCGGACCGCCAAGCCTTGCAAGCACGTATGCTCAAATTGTCGGAGGAATTATGTAGTGCAATGGAAGCCAACAACTTGCCACGAGCGGAGGTACTAAGAGGTGTATTCGAGACATTATGGGCAACCCATGACTCGCGACCGGTGAACAAACAGGAACCACGGGAACCACGTAGTTGGCCGAAGTGGCCCTCGAACCTGTATAAACTCAGAAACATTATGGAGCTTGACACTAAAGGGGCGTTGCGAGAAGCCCTTAAGAATGCGCAGATTTCGGGTCTCGACGAAGCATGGAGTCTTCGTTGGTTTTATAAGGTTTTAAGTCACTTTAAAGCCGAACAATCTACACTTGATTCTATAAAATCTAATCACCAACGCTTAGTTGCATGGACACCAGAACTCCAAATAACACAAATCTGTTCACACGGGACTCAGGTTACGGCGGATCCCACGTTTTGCAAATTAGCAACGGGACACCAGAAACTTAGTAATGTTCCGGTGATGGAACTCATGACATACCTTATGGAGAATCATTGTCGAGCACACGAGCGTTGTCAGACCGATGCAGATTTTAATCAAAATTTACTCAACCACTGCATAGTTCAATTGTTGGAGGAAAAGTGGCAACTCATGGAGACTCATGAATTACTACAGCTGCTCAGTCCGGATATCCAAGAGGCCCAGATTCGTTCGACTCAACGTTTAGTCAATCGTCGAGGTCACAATGGGGGATCGACTCGGGGGGAGACGACGAATAGTAGACCTAGCCCGCACATAGTCCAGCGACAGCAGGAACAATGGCGACAACGCCCGACTCCAACAACTAACCCAACGACGTGCAACAGTTGCCGTGCACAAGCACCTCCAGGGTTAAGACATATACAGCGCTTCCATCCTTACCGAGCGGCCCAACATGGGGGGCAGGACGTGAGGACACGGACGTCAGACACTAGTCAGCAGCAGAGAGATGTGAATATGGGACAGCGATCTACGCTACCACAGGGGTTCGTGCACCAATTACCACAATACCCAGGCCGACAGTCGACCTCAACTACAATGACACCGCAGGTTAACATGGATAAAAAAATATAGAGCAGAACACAATATGTTTTCAGATTCCGATGATGAAGATCTATGGAAGTTTAATAAATGTTTATTTATTCATCTGTGTTCGCTATTTTATCCTCGTCCACTTCACTTTGGAAGAAAGGCTTTTCCGTATTTGAATCGATGCTGGTACTTCCAGCCGATGTCGTACGACCTGAATTTTTTAACGTTCTAGATTGCACATTGGGCTTGATCTCATTGTCCCAATCTATATCATAGAAATCATGATACTCCTGCTCAAAATTGTCTATGAAAATAACTCCAGCGTCTAGGTCTTCCACTTCGTATGACATTATTAGCGTCCGATATGAAGGGTTTGCCTTGAAGAGTTTACTCATTGCGTCCATCATCGCGTTTAACGACTTAGCCTTGAGAAGTAGAGTTCAATCTTGTGTCCACTCCTCAACTGTTATCTTCCCTGAATCTACTGAGGGGTTTAAACCAGTAGCAGGTGCGTATCATGTGATATAGTGTGTTTTAGATATTATACTGATCCTCTATGGTAGTGCAATGGCAGCTCGATGTTCTATAAATAATACTTTTTTTTTGTTATGTACACTCTTGTTAACAATAGTAGTTTGACTCACCTGCGCCACCAGCGTTGGCTTCTGCAGTATGGAGAGAAATTCTCTCATATTCTCACGCGAGCTATCTTATATCATTTGCATACTTTCTGCCATGGCGGTTTGAAAAGATTCCCCGACACTCTTCGTCTGTCGTCTGCGATTTAAAACATACATGACACTGTACTTGAGCTAATTCATTCAATATAACATGTACTTCTAGAACCTTGCGCAAACATATAGATACCTATCTGAGCGGGTGCGGCCAGGGATTTTGTCCCTATCGAGTTTAGATACTTTGGTCTTCTTACCAGATCTAAATTTAGACTCGCCAACATTTACAACATCATCCTCATCCTCAGATGACAATGCTTGTTCATTCTCGACCGAACCCGGTGGTAGCATAATATTTCCAAATGTTGCTATAGTACCTACCGTCAATACAATCATGAAGTAACTTTAATGTGACACAAGTAGTTCTAGGCTCAATGGATAATTATCTGTGTGCTTTAAGTGCTATTGCTGGGCATCTTGTTGAACGTTTACTGGAATGTACCAATATAGAACAATTGAATTTGGAATATATGTTTAACTTAAACGGTACAGCTGGTCGCTATGATAAACTGAAACCGGATGTAGCTAGGCGTACAATAGCAAAAATTGTACGTTTAGAAAATTTCGTTGCAAAGGGGGGTATTGTAGACATAGGGACACACAGTCTTAGAAGTGCCCCTGTACCTATGCACAAAGATGCGGACGGGCAAAGGGGATTAATGCCATTTCCTGATGCGAAAGTATCAGAGACTCTGTGTGGATCTCGTGGCGCTTGTATCTACAGAATGAATCCAGGTAATAAAATTTGTTTTATAAGCATCAAAGTCCCTACATGCTATTTAATTGTATTTTCTTCCATCATTTATTACTGATTGTGCATATATATATTGCAGAATTCGAAATGAGCGATGAGGATCCTATGCATTTTATTTAAATGCGGTTACTTAGCCGCCACGGCAACCGGAAATACAAAAACACTACAAAAAAAAGAGTATGTTTAAGATAAATAGTGTATTTTACTATTTACTATTTAGACTATCTTTAGCCACTTGGCAGTTTGGCGGGTCACTTTGTTGACTAGTCTATTTTACAACTGTAGTGCTTAGCGGGTGTGTTTTGTGCCAGTATTGTAATTCATATAACCGCCTTGTAGTCCCGCTCCCTGCATTTGTAGCTCTAAACAATGAGGGAGAAACGTATCGTTGGTCCGAAACAGTCTCTTGCATGCAATTCGAAAACGATAGCAATGATAGAGAGTTTTTATTGAGAGGCTCTACTAAAAGAGTGTACAACAACAATCAACTTGTGATATATACTGTCCAACTATATATATATATATATATATACATATATATATATATAATAAATAAAAAA